ACAGGGGCTCTTCCTTCATCAGACTCAGTTTGCTCACGAGATCTTGGAACGTGCAGACATGCTCAACTGCAAGCCCATCTCCACTCCTGTTGATACAAAGGCAAAACTTGGGGCTTCATCTGGCACACCACTTTCAGATCCCACCTTATACAGGTCCGTTGTTGGAGCATTACAGTACCTTACTTTCACACGGCCGGATCTCACCTATGCTGTCCAGCAGCTATGTCTCCATCTTCATGCTCCTCGCAGCACTCATCTCACCGCCATGAAGCGTGTTCTTCGCTACTTAAATGGGATCACTCTTCATGGCACACGCACAGATTCGCTACAGGCATACTCTGATGCTGATTGGGCGGGATGTCCTGACACTCGTCGCTCCACCTCTGGTTATTGTATTTTTCTCGGCGACAACCTCATCTCTTGATCCTCCAAGAGACAGGCCACCACATCCCGCTCGAGTGCTGAGGCCGAATATCGAGCAGTTGCAAATGTCGTGGCTGAGGCAAGTTGGGTCCGAAATCTTCTTCTTGAGTTACAGCAACCTCTGCGCTGCACCACTCTGGTCTTCTGTGACAATGTTAGTGCAGTGTATCTATCGACCAACCCAGTACAGCATCAGCGCACGAAACATGTAGAGGTTGACATACACTTTGTCAGGGACAAGGTTGCTCTCGGACAGGTCCGTGTTCTCCATGTTCCCTCTTCTTCCCAGTATGCCGACATCTTTACCAAAGGGCTACCTTCTCTCCTCTTCTCCGACTTCAGGCACAGTCTGGGCATCCGCCCATCGCCCGTCACGTAGTTGGTAGCATGTTAAATATATTATTGTATATTTAATATATTTATATATGGTAGTTTTCTTTGTATAGGATTTCCTTGTTTGTATTCTACCATAGTTAGGAGACCGATAACTTTGTATATATACGGGGCTTGACTCCACAAGATGAATATAGAAAACAATTATTCTTCAGTATAAACTTGGTAATCGTAAAATTTTAAATATTTCAAATACTTTGATTTATCGCAATAATATTTTTCATAACATAAAAAGTACGGAATTTTCAATATTGCAAAAGCTTAACAAATCACAATCATAATTAACTTATGTCCTTCAATTCAAAACCATCACATCATCCCGACTATCTCGCCTCCGTCAGCCTCCAAGATCATGTCACATCATTCTTTCTATTTACCTGCGTGTAGCAAATAAAACATACTACACGCTCAGCGTTGAAGCTGAGTAAGGATATCTAATGCATCGAATATCCATATAAATTGAATCTCAATTCATAATCAAATCATTTGATATCATGCACATAAGGTTCAATTTATATATTCATCATTCATGATTTTGATATTGTTCAATTTATATCGACACATGTTATTCAATTCGAATATTCAATATTAATTATTTCGACAGTGCTCTTAAATTCATGATTTTGATATTGTTCAATTCATATCAACACATGTTTTTCATCTCTTGTTTTGTAGAATTTTTGATATAGTTTTTAAATATATAAACTTTATTTTTTTAATTTTACATCTACAATGAAATAAACTAAATTAAAAATGAAGCCGATCAAACCTCGTAAATAGAAACAAGAAGAACGTTTTTGGACGGAGGAAATATTTTTACTAATGATTTATAGAAGTTGTTTGGAATGCACTATGTTGGTGGGCGTTGCGCAGCTGGCAAAAGTCAACGTGTGTCACATGAGTGGAGTGACAAATTCTGCAATGGCAAGTAATGTCTGTGCCCCTCTCTGTTTCATATCTACTCTCAAATCCTTTAGAATAAAAATAAATACTAGAAAAATAATACTCAACACTCCTTAAAAAATAGCTCGCATATGCCACGGGAATCAGGTGAAACGCTTTGAAAAAACAAGGCACCACGCCTTAATATGCTGAAGTGGCACGGCGTGGAATCCTTTTGGATCGCCACTGCCGCTGCTCTTATGCTAAGCATAAAACTTCTTCAAGTAACGAGTACAAATTCACTCTTTGTCTGTGCAAATAAAATTGAATTTATGAGCTGTCGAGATGGGCTCAATTTTTTTAGAATGCACCATAGAATCTCTTCTCCAGAAACAGATGTTAAATGATGTAAGAAAGTGGCTTTCACTTTAGTTTTGTTTTCACATCCCCTTCACAGCCTCACCTCTCAGCCATTGTCAGGGTGAATTCCCAATCAGTGCAATTTTTGAAAAACCATTCCCAAATGGTGAAGGGGAGTCTGACATTGCGCAGAGTGGTCATATTTAAGCATTAACGGGACTGCTAGTACTGTAATTTTATTTTTTTTAGATTAACGGTACAACCAGTACCGTTAATCTATTAGTTATTTATAATTACGAAATTAAATGCATCCCTTTGTTAGATATTGGCATTAAATTTGAACAATATTAAAATTTTTATTAATTTGATGCACTACTACTGAAATAAAAAGCATACGAATAAAAGTTGTCGTACATATATAAAAATCCCACATTGAAATTTATAATTTAACTAAGTTCCCCGACGATGTCTTCGTGCTCGCATATCCATATTATTTGTGAAACGAGTACTCACTGGTCGACCGGCCTGTGACTTTTGCCCTATAAATGGATGGACTAATTCATAACCAAGGGTAGGCCATTCAATTTCGTTTTGTAGTGGCATAACACTTCCAGAATATGCATCAAGATAATTCTGAAGTGAAAACACTCGTGGGATGAGATCATCAACAATAATGTTGCAATAACGACATACGGCATAGACATGCACACATGGCATGTGCAATGTGGCCCATTTCCTGCAAGTGCACAATTTTTGGCCCAGATGCACGACAATCTCATCTAATCTACCGGTAGCTCCAGCGTTACCCTCAACAACGACCCGATAAATCCCTTGTTGCGGATGATGTGGGATAACATGGCAATGTAAACGATAGTCTTCCATGCGTCTCACCTCGTTCCAAATATATTTTGGGAACTTAAATCCCGCTTGTAGCCATGTAAATCCGTTTGTACGCCTTTCTCTTTCATGCTTGTAATAAGCTTATCGTCCTTCTCTTTCGAAAGGTCTGGTCTGCATAAATGTTGACTTCTATACTGTTTTACAGTCCAAACAGATGCAACCTCTGCAGCCTGGATGAGCCATGGACATTGTTCTGGATACGTGCACTTCGCCAGCCAATAATTGCGACGCTTTGAAGAAGTCTGATAGTGTCTATGCTCTGCAATATTGCGTAGCGCCACTGCAAATTGAAGGCTTTTGAAATCACTGTACCGATATCCAATCTGAATTTCAGGGATACGGAACGTTGGTTGTAGTGAGACTTCTTCAACGTGCCTAGGGATCGGAAATTCTGGAATTCCTTGTTCAACAATGTTAATAGGCTCCTCTGTGTACACGTCCGGTGTGTACATAGAGACCCATCCAGATACTTCAGACTCATCTGAAGATCTCTCTTGATCAGAATTAGCAACGTACGTCGGATCCTCAGAGTCATCTTCATCATCTATGTCTCGTGCTGTGTTAGACGGCCCCGCCTCATCAACTTGGTGTTGGTGATGAACTTGGTGGTGATGAGCTTGGTGGTTTTGCTCTTCCTCCATTTCTTCTTCCTCGTTAACCAACACTTCAACTTGGTGTGCATCTAGGTAAACCTCAAGTTCATCATATTCCTTCGTTGCCTTTTAAACGAAACACCTCCATGTTCATTCCTCGGAAATGGGGAAAGGGCGTGAAGCAGCATAAACTCCATCCTTGTATTTGGGATATTTTCCCCAAATGTTTTTGATGGAATTGAGATTATCTTCACCAATAACATCAAGGAGTTCATTGAAGACCTCCTCGAATGAGATATCAAGATAAAAAACAAAGGCCTTGTTTGAATGCAATGAGTACTCCACCTCATTGTTCTTGATCATTATCTCACCGTTCCAATGGGCTAGCAAGACAAAACTACCATCAGAGGCCATTTTTTTTAGTTAAGCAAGAAATATATAGATGGGATATTTTTTTAGTTGGGTGGATTGAATGGTGTAGGATTGTTTGTAGTGTAATGTGAGATATTTTTTTTGTTGGGTGAATTGTATGGTGCAGGATTGTTTGTAGTGTATTGTGAGATATTTTTTAAGTTGAGTGGATTGTATGGTGCAGGATTGTTTGTAGTGTAATGTGAGATTTTTTTTAGTTGGGTGAATTGAATGGTGTGGGATTGTTTGTAGTGTAATGTGAGATATTTTTTGTTGGGCGAATTGTATGGTGCAGGACTATTTGTAGTGTAATGTGAGTTTTTTTTAGTTGGGTGGATTGAATGGTGTAGGATTGTTTATAGAGTATTGTGAAATATTTTTTTAGTTGGGTGAATTGTATGGTGCAAGATTTTTTGTAGTGTAATGTGAGATTTTTTTAGTTGGGTGAATTGAATGGTGTAGGATTGTTTGTAGTGTAATGTGAGATTATTTTTAGTTGGGTGAATTGAATGGTGTAAGCTTGTTTGTAGTGTAATGTAGACATTTTTTTAGTTGGGTGAATTGAATGGTGTTATATTGAAAATTATACAAATTAATATCTACCCAAATTTAATACAATAATAAAGATGTTATCATCCAAAATAATAGAAGAATAAAAAGTTTTTATCATCCAAATTAATACAATAATAAAAAAAAATTAAAGTAAGATAAATGGATGGTTATCTAAGAAGTACAATAAATGGACGGGCCGTTTAAGAAGGTGCGCCGCTACTAGTACCGAATTGAGGGGAAGAGTGGTTTTGGATAGAAAATTATTATTTTTGGATTAACAATACAGGGAGTACCGATTTAAATTTTTTTAAACTTTACGCCTACAAGCAGTATCCTGATCCTGAATGCTTTTTCCCTATCCTCACTCAACCGGAATTAATTCCTCCCAGTCTCATCCTTACAAACCCTAGCATGCCAGCCACCGCCAACGCCCAGTAGGGGCAGCGTAATTAAGCAGCTGCCGCCCACGCCGCCGGCTTCCGCTTCCACTGTGCTGCCTTCTTCTCTCCCCCAATTATCACTCAAAGTCTCAAACGCCATATTTCTTAAGGTTAGTACCTAATTTTGTTTTTTTTAATCGCTGGCTAACTGATATGCTTAATTGAATAACTGTATTCAGTTCCTTGTTCATTTATCTCCGACTGAAGTTGTGCTATAGGTCGTCTAGTTTCAAGATTGTTTAGTTGATAATGGCGTTTATCCGTTGCAAAGTTGTGTTCACTTCAATTTCATAATGGGATTTGTTATAACTAAACAAGGTAATGGAAATTGTTGAACTAGTAAGTTCAAAGATGGGGTTGCTATGAAGATGCATAGACGCATTCAAAGAGAAGAGTTTCACAATCAATAATGAATATCACGATTGTTCAGGAGATTGATTGATCTGTTTTTGTTAGGTCCCTTAAGTGGAAGTAGACTATTCTTCTTTTCTGTTTTAGTAGAAAAAGGCAGAACCCCTTACCCCCACCCCGAGGGTCCCCCACACCCCTACCCTGGGTTGGTGGAGGAGGTAAACTGCGGGATGCGTCTCAACTGGCCAGGGACAATAGAATTTTTGCCATGACAAATCTCACGTACAAGGGGCCGAATCTAAAAAGTCGCCTCCAAGATTTGAACCTCCACCAGGTCGCCAGCAAGGCTCGCCAAGTGCTTTTTTCTGCTTTAGTGAATGGAGAACTGGTGTATATCTGGTTCTTCACTTAATCACTTCTCTTTAGAGTGAGGTCAAAATATGGTTGACTTTGGGTTAACTTGCTTAGGCAGTCTTGGTAACCCACATGGCCGTGCTGACCTAGCCATTGTTGCTAAAGACTCAGCCTCGGCCTCACCTATTCGGCACTACTGTTTTACTGGGCTAACTCTAAACACATCTATTGGCCACCGCTAGTTATAATGACGAAAGTTTTTGGGTAAACACTGAGCCTATATTCTATCTGTTTTTTACTCTTTATAAATTAGTGGCGAATGGTGATTGGGCTTCTGCATTCTGTTATGCTGCCTGCATTTGTTTCTTTGCTTATCTACTTCTAATCCGCTTTGATTGTATTCCTTTCGAGCCAAGGGTCTTCACGGGTGGTTGTAAGGTTTGCATACAACCCACCCTTCCTAGACCCCACCTGTAAGAATACATTGTATTTGTTGTTGGCGGTGATTGAGTTTTAGCAGCTAAGGCCTTTGGTGCATTATGGTCATTTTGGCCATCACCTACTAGGCCTATTTTTTGTTGCATGCATGTGGTTCTAATTCTACGTTCAAGTATTACTAGTTTACTACCAAGAGTGGACCTTCACCTGGCCAATAATGTTGGCTAAGCTTTTGATATGGAGAATTTTGGAAAGATATACTTTCAAAATAGATATATTTTCAATATAATCCACACACCATTAAAAAACTATCCAAAACCCATGTCCCAAACAAGGGTGTAGGCGTTTATAGAGTTTTCAATTAATGTGGACTTTGAAGCTTTTTTATTAGGATAAATGGCCTAAGCTCTAGACTTTTTTCCAAAAAGGATTGCATAATTTTTATTGTTTATGTGCATTTTACCTATTTTTTTCTTCATGTTTGTGCTAATCTTGAAATCCAAATTTTCCAGAAGCCACAGTTCCATGGCAACAACACTTCCAAACCACACGGTTCTTGACCAACTCAGAACTGGTACGGCTCAATTCGAGATCGTATCCTCCCCGTCCCCTTCAACCACAAATACCATACAGTCTTTCCAGAAAACCAACCACAATTCCCCATCATTCTTCGCCAGAATTCGGCCTCCATTTCCCCCACCAGCCAAAAAGGCAGAGCGCTACAGGGTTGAGAAGGTAGCTGGGGACGGGAGGTGCCTGTTCCGTGCCCTAGTGAAGGGCATGGCCAGGAACAAAGGGATCATCACCCTAACCCCGCGACAGGAGAGAGACGACGCGGACGAGTTGCGAGCTGCTGTCAAGGAGGCGATATGCGAGGACCCGAGCGAGCGTCTGCAGTATCAGGATGCAGTCATTGCGATCACGGTCGAGGAGCCACTAAGAAGATATTGCCAGCGCATTGGGCGATCGGACTTCTGGGGGGGAGAGTCCGAGTTGCTCGTGCTGTCCAAATTGTGCCGACAGAGGATTGTGGTGTATATACCGGCTAATGAGGGGCGCAGAAGTGGCGGTTCGGGTTTTATTCCCATAGCGGAGTATGGAAATGGTTGGGGGAAGAGGGAACAGCCAAGGCAGGTTGTTAGGTTGCTATATAGTGGGGGGAATCACTATGATTTACTTGTTTCATAAAAAAATACTTTGTATTCTCCAGTTCTTGAGTCTCTTGACTCATTTGGTGTAATGAAATGTGATGCATGTATTGAGGAAAAAATATTTGGAAGGTTATAATTTCCTATTTTTGACATTGTATTATGACATTAGCCTATTTGGAGTTCCTACACATGTTTTCTTGTGTTCCGAAAAATAAAATACCTCCTCGCCCCAAATTAAGTAGTACGTTTATTATTTTGGAAAAAAATTAAAATAAAAGTAAAATATTGAAAATATAATAAAATATGAGTTATATTTTTTATTTACAGTACATTACCAAAAAAAATTGTGAAATATTCATATACAGTGTCGCATTGTCACAGTGCAAACTCTTGTTTTGAGGATAAAAACATAAAATTCTTATTCTAGTACTTTCTCTATGTTTTACATCTATTTAGGGTGATTTCTTTTATTAAACTTCATCAACTTTCCTTTCCTATTTTTGTTAGTCATTTATTGAAATAATATAGTCACGTCTCTTCCTTTTTCGTATAATTTTTAATATAATTTTTAAATATACTCTGTATAGATATTAATTTTTATTTATATCATAATTCTCAAATTAATTGACTTAAAATTAATGTTAGTCAAACATTATAAATTGAAACATGCGATTTGAATTGAGATACAGTGATACAGAATGAGGGATAGTCTAAATTTATCGTGTTTTCCCTATGAATAATGCATGGATCTTCTCATATAAGCATATTTATGATTTAAATAAATAAATAAATGCATACACTGACATTATGAAAATATTAATGTAGCTATAAAGAAGAAGAGGCTGGAAAAATTATGGGTCAAAAACAAAAAGGGAAAATGTAGAGCTAGAAGGTCTGGTCTTAAAAGATGTAAATGCTTCATCCGTCCTTGAATTTTAAATTCAAATTTTGATTTGACGAAATTTGTATTAAGAAAAGGTGTTCAAAATTCAAAAGTACTCCGCATATTCTTAAATTTTTAAAAATTGATAGTAATCAATATATCTTTTGGATTTGTTTGAAGCAAAGTTACAGACTATTTAACCAAATATTTGAAGAAACAAGAGAAAAGTTGAGCCATATAATATAGTCCTGACAAAAAATGTAAAAGTATAAATTTTATTTTGAAATGAATGAAAAATAAATATATGAATTTAATTTGAATACTTAAAGTTTTTTTTGAACATGAACACTGGTTCAAGAAATTTGGAAGAAAAAAGAAAAGAATGATTTTTTTCTCGTTTTTCTCATCAAAATGGAAGGAATTTAGTTTTTTCAATCCTCTTAGTACATTTTGTCTTCTCGTTTTCTTTTCCTTCCACATTTGTTTTATTTTCCTCTCCAACCAAACAAGAAGATTTATTTTCCATCTCATTTTCCTTTCTTTTCCTTTTCAAAATCCTAGAACCAAACATACTGTAATAACCCTATTATAAAGTAATATCTCTCCATACATTTTCATTGAATACTTAAGGACTAATCATTCTTATTTGTTTATATATAGTTTGTGTGTGTAAAATATAAAACCCCGGGCTGTTCAAACTTAGGGAGATACGCCTAGAAACCCCACTCATTTATTAAACAGACATCTACTCTGTCGAGAGCCTAAACCTCGTGTATTATATTCATCAAAGTCCTCCAAAAAAAATCTACCTAGAACAAAAGATCATTTATTTTATTATCATGTTTGACTGAAATTATTTTTAATTTAATTTGAAATTTGGTAATTAAAAAATAAATTTATATATTTAGATACTACATACGGAGTAAAATAATTTACAAAACAAGAGATATCATGATTGTATTATTTTTTTTCAAATGCGTAACAAAAATGCGCAAAAAAGTGATTAAAGTTAAATTATATGAAGAGAAAACAGACAACTTGACATGAGACAAAGGAATATAATAAACGAACTATTCACTTAAACCAACAAATAAACTTATGAATATAACTGCATTTCTTAGTTTTCCATGGTTCCAACAGTATTACATTATCAGTCAAAAAAAACAGTATTACATTCCTCAAGTGAAAAGAGTGTGCTCCAAAATATGATTCATTGTTTGGGATGAATCATGAATGAAGTACTCAATGCATTTAACAACTACAAGAAAGACATCTCTAGCTCGAAAAACATGACTATATTAGTAGCTATTTAGAGGAAGAAACACAGTTACACAAAGATCATTTCTTTTCAATAGTCAATGTACTTTCTAAATCTGTCGGTTGATGGCATCTTTGGTATGTCAAGGCATTCAAGAGAAACAGTGAACCATCTTTAGGAGAGTAATAGGCCTAGAAAAATTACAAATTAAAATTTGAGAGAGAGAGATAGAGAAAGCCGTACCGATTAAAAACGCTCTTAATCACAAACCTCTAAGGAATGGTGAAGAATGTCTTATTCCTCCTCGCCACTATCGTAAACAATTGTTCTTCGTCGATGAGTTGTCTGCCTTGGAGGAGATTCCTCCTCGGACTCTATTTCCTTTCGTTTACGGCTTGGTCCAGACTCCCTAACCTTTTGTTTTGTCTCCTGGATATGTTTATGGAAAAGAAAATTAGGAAAATATAATAAGCAGCAACTTTATACTCCCTCCGTCCATTTTTAATGTTCAGAGTTTGACCGGGCACGGAGATTAAGAAATGTTAAATTTCACATTGACTTTCCATTTGTACCCTTCACATTTTTCTACCCCAACATCCTGTCCCCAATTCCCAAAATCTTCGTCGGAAAACCTAGCACAAACTTGCTGCCTAACTGTATCATTCCAAAATCAATGAGAAATTCCGGCGACCTTTTCCCACTGGTGGGAGAATCGAAGGGGTCGGAAGAAGACGAAGAATACTTGATAAAGATCCTTCATTTTTCCTAAAATCTGTCACAGATTTGAATTAGATTTCTCAGATCTGGACCAAATCTGAAGGGGGAGGATGAAGAAAAAGAAGAAGAGGAAGAAAAAATGGGGGGATGAACAGAATCCGATGGGAATGGAGAAAAAAAGAGAGGAGAAGAAGATGGAAAGAAGAAGAAAGAGGCTACTAGATTGGAAGGTCAGAGGAAGAAGAAAATAGAAGAAAAAAGGAGAAAGAAATGAAAAAAGGGAGAGAAACAGAATGAAAGAAGAAGAAGAAGAAGAATAATAATAATAAAGGAAAAGAATGGGGGAGAAAAGAAATGAAAGAAGAAGAGAGAAAAAAAAAAGAAAGAAAGGAAAGAAGATGAGTGGGTGAGGACTGAGGAGTGGCGAGAGGAAGAAGAAAAAGAAAAGAAAGAGGGTGGATGGGTAGGGATAATTATGTCTTTTTCATGTAAAAAAGTTTCCAAAAAAGGAAACATGAACTTTATTTGTGGACGGACGAAAAAGGAAAGTACGAACATTAAAAATGGACGGAGGGAGTATCTTTTTTCTTTACATGTTTTCGTCTATCATTTTATTAAAAATTATAGTCATGAAAACGCTTATTTCATAAAATATTTTATGTTATTTTTAAATGTACAAGTTTAAGTTTTTATTCGACACCTATATTTAAATGAATTTTAAAAAATGTTTTAGTTAAACATTATAAGTTGAAATGAGACAAAAAAAATGACAAGAAAGTATAGTTTCACTTAATGTTCGACATGTCGTGTGTTGATAAAATATCTCACAGACACGATCCCACGACCCAAAATTCCTGAGTCCGCCACTTGGTTATTGCAGTTAATGCAGTTGGTTATTGCACTTGGTTATTGCAGTTATATATATATATATATATATATATATATATATATATATATATATATATATATATATATATATATATATATATATATATATATATATATATATATATATATATATATATATATATATATATATATATATATATATATATATATAGGGGGCGGTTCAAGTGAGAATGCACCTTGGTGAAAGAAATAAGAATAAAATCTAGCCTTTAGATTTGATGCATCGTGCGGCTCAGATTGCATCCTGCATTCAGATTTTGAGGTTATGCATTTTCAAGGGATTATGGTGCATTTCTACATGATGCATTTTCAAACCATTTTGGTGCACCTAATTTTGATGCAATCCTAACCCTTAGATCTCACAATCTAAAGCACCAGATTCATTCTTATTTCTTTCATAAGATCGCATTCTCACCTGAACCAAAATCTATATATATATATATATATAT